GGAGCGAGTCCAGAGGGGAGCAGCAAGAGGATCAGAGGGATGGAGCAGCTCTGCTGTGAGGAAAGGTTGAGAGAATTGGGATTGTTCAGGCTGGAGAAAAGAAGGCTTTGGGGTGACCTAATTGTGGCCTTGCAGTGCCTGAAGGGAGCCAACAAGAAAGATGGAGAGAGACTTTGGACAAGGGCCTGGAGTGACAGGACAAGGGGAATGGCTTCACACTGACAGAGGGAAGGGTTAGATGGGATATTAGGAAGAATTTCTGGACTGTGATGGTAGTGAGATCCTGGCACAGATTACTCAGAGTAGTTCTGGCTGCCCCATCCCTGGAAGTGTTCACGGCCAGGCTGGATGGGGCTCTGAGCTCTGAGTCCAGTGGAAGGTGTCCCTGCCCATGGCAGGGGGTTGGACTGAGATGCTCTTTAAGGTGCCTTCCCACCCAAACCATTCCATGATTCTGGGACTGGTGGGGGATGTGGGGGTCGGAGCCAACAGGCACAGAGACCCCAAAATGATGGAGTTTTCCATTCTGGGTGGAGGAAGGAGGGGGCAGCAGAACTGACAGCCTGGACTGCTGGTGGTCAGACTTTGTTCTGTTTGGGAGACTGACTGAGCTGGGTGTGAGTGTGGATGTGCTGGAGGGCAGGAAGGCTCTGCAGAGGGATCTGGACAGGCTGGATCAATAAGGCCAAGTGTCAGGGCCTGCCCTTGGGTCCCAACAACCCCCTGGAACATTCCAGGTTGGGGGCAGAGGGGCTGGAGAGCTGCTCAGCAGGAAGGGACTTGGGGGTGCTGCTTGACAGGGGCTGGATATGAGGCAGAGTGTGCCCAGGGGGCAAGAAGGCCAAGGGCATGGTGGCCTTTGTGGAGAAGAGTGTGGCCAGCAGGAGCAGAGAACTGATTGCCCCTCTGTGCTGGGCACTGGGGAGGCCCCACCTGGAGTGCTGTGTCCAGTTCTGGCCCCTCAGTGCCAAAAGGCCCTTGAGGGGCTGGAGCGTGTCCAGAGAAGGGAACGGAGCTGGGGAAGGCTCTGGAAAACATGTCTGCTGAGGGACGGCTGAGGGAACTGGGCTGGTTGAGTCTGGAGAAGGGGAGGCTCAGGGGGGACCTCATTGCTCTCTGCAATGACCTGAAAGGAGGTTTTAGTGAGGTGGGGGTTTGTCTCTTCTGCAAAGCCTTTAGGGACAGGAAGAGAGGAAATGGCCTTAAATTGGATTGGGCAATGTTCAAATTAGATATTCAAAAACCCTTTTTCCACTGAGAGAGTGTTGAGGAATTGGAACAAGTAGCCCAGGGAGGTGGTGGAGTCTCTGGAAGCATTCAGGTGGCATCTGGATGTAGTGCTTTGGGAGGGGGTTTAGGGGTGATTCTGGTGGTGCTGGGTTGACAGTTGGACTAGAAGATCTGGAAGGTCTCTTCCAACCTTGATGATTCTGTGATTCTCTGACCTGTCATCCCTGTTTGCAGGGTTGTGCTCTAACAAGACCCTGGGGATGTTTTCTCTGTTGGGTCCACAGAGATTGTGTTGTGTGAGCTTTTTTCCTCTACGATCAGAACAAGGAGTAATTAATGTTAAATCCAGCAGATGGCCTTCAAGTAACAACTTGGTCCAGTTTGTCCAACTGTGTCCAAACAGGTGAGGAAAATCTGGAACTTTAGAAATGTTAGTTTTTTACCTCATTAGCAGGATATCCAGGGGTGCACCAAGTGCCTTCCAGTGAGGAGCACAAGAGACCAGGAGACAGTGACAATATTGTTCTAATGTTAATGTCACTGGAGCACAGAGTGAGATCACTTCTGAGTTATGTTTCTTTAATTAGTGATTGGGAAAAAAATCACATATTTGAGGACACTTTAGGATTTATTTCACACTTTTAACACTAAGGTATTTTCCCCTGACTGGGACAGGCACTGCTGATGATGTTTTCTTTCCCCTCTCTGATTCCATTCCCACTGTTTTGTACAGACTCCTTGGGGTCAGATTTTGCACTGTACAGTTTGATAAGTTAGTGCAGATGTGTGTTTGCAGGCATGTTCTTCTTCTGTATTCCCTGATAACATTCAGTAAACTGATACCTGGCTTGAGCTTTTTTTTTTCCTCCATAGTACTATTTTTATTTATTTCTACAGAACACCTGGAGAAAATGAAGGTACACTGAGCCCCAGTTCACTTGCTGCTCTAATCTCTTCACCTTTTTTCTTTTCCCCTCCCCCAGACTGATGGGTAACTGTGAAACCCAAGGTCAGGAATGTGGTTGGAATTCCAGGCCCCAGTCTGGGGGAGGGGACACTTTCAGTCCCCAGGGGAAGAAGCCACTGCTTTGTTTATCAACAGGCAAAGGACAGCCCAGGATTTCTGGCTCTCCAAGCAGCAGCACTGGCAGGGAAGAGCTGCTGGCTTGGATGGAAGAGGGTTGAGAGAAAAGCAGTGATGGCTCACAGGGGGAGAGGAGAAACGTGTTATTTGGGGGTGTAAAGCAGGATGGATGACAAGGTAACAAGGCAGTGGAAGCCACGGGAACAGGAAAAGGAGGGCTTAGAGGAGACAGATCAGGACAGAAGGAAGGACCATCATGTTTCAGCCCCTGAATATCAAATCTTAGGAGATAATGAAGGAAAGTATGAACGAAGCTCACCTGTCCTTGGGTGAGTTTCCAAGTGGATCAGCTGTCATATTTTAAGGAGAGTGTATTGCAGGGAACTTAACACAGAAAAGTGACCATATCAAATGACACATGTATCGGGATTCATTATGGATGATTTTTATATGAGAGAACACGTACACATGCAAAGACTTGAAAGCATTTTGGAATAAAAACTATTGAAAAAGAGCCATTTGGGGTATAAATCTATAAATAGACACTTGGAGAGATACTCAGAACAAACAATATATTTGTATTTTCATGTTTTGCTCCTGTGCACATGTAAATCAGTTTGTAGGACCTGTATTTTGAGTTCATACAGTCATACAGATAACTATACATAAAGACATCATATTGAAGGTCTGATTTGGTCCCAAAATCTCTTGTTTATCAAACTGTTACTTAAAGAAGATGTTCTAATACAGCACTGTGGGTTAGTACCTCTCATTTTAAAATTTGTAAAAAACAGATTTTATTTTGTCCCTGATGTTTCTACAGAGCACTTAAATTTTACTCTGCATTTCAGAGCTCTTTAATCCATTGCTCACAAGGAATCTACATCTTGATGACAGAGTTCCCATTTACCAATACAGACAGCATAATGCTGCTGGTAATGAAGCTTTTACTGCCTGCTTTTATACAGTGGTCTGAGCTGTAGTTTTGCTGTGCTGGTTCTGATTCCTAAACTTAAATGTATTTATACCATGTTTGTAGGAAGCAGGCCCAGTCTTCACATCATGTTAAATACATAACACTGGAATCTCTCTGCTGTTAACAGACACAAACATGTCTATTGAACCTCTATAATTTGGAATTTGGTTCTGTTGCTGCATTTACTTGGTAAAATGCTGTGGAACAGATCTGGAGAGGGCATTTGTGTTTCCATTTGTGAGTGGCATTACTGCATTTTGAGGGTGTGCACTGATTGGTTTTGATCTAAAAGACTGCCATGTGCATCATGTTAGGGCTCCAGTCACAAAAGATTTTCTAAGAGTTGAGATGTATTCTAAGAAATTATTGTCTTTCCAGTGTTGGTTGTTTTTTCTTTTTTTGTGGCCAGAAAAAGCCTGCATCTGTCTTTGCTGGTAGGGGCAGAAACACTTTGAACCTGGAAAATAAGTATGGTAGCTCAGTTGTAATTTTAAGTAAAGGTAGTAGCTTTTGAGAGAAAAAACGCATTCCTAATTAATTACTGATTCTTTCAACACGGAGTTCTGTGAGTGTGTTTCAGTGCAAACAGTGTCTCTAAAGTTGAGCATGGTCACCGTGTTGGAACAAGTTTAATCAAGGACCTTTCATATGACAGAGAAGAACAACTCTGAGCTGGCTCTAAATGAGGCTGAGTTAGTCCACTCTAATCCCTGCACACTTACAGAGCAAATGGATCAGTTCTGGAGCTTTTATTTCTCTTTCTTATATCTAAATACACACACCTAAACATCCAAATATTCGCACAGGGTGTATATCTAACATATATATATATATGTTAGGATGCAGTTCTAATCTGTACAGGAACACACGTAGCTGTATTTGCTCCCAGTTTCACCCATGATGTTAAGGAATAGATTTGAGGGCTCCTTTTGTTAGCAACGTCTTTTTTTTTTTTTAGCTAAGTAGAAAAGAAGGCTTTAAAATTTTGAATAGTTAATTATATAATTTTTATGGGTTTATATATAATATTATATATACATAATCAAATTCCGGCCCGCCCGCCCCCTCCCCTTTTCCCCCCAAAGCAACTCGCACGACAATGAAAAGCTGAGTTACCCGGAGGCTTCGGCAGCTGCGCTTGGCGTTATTATTATTATTATTATCATTTGTTTTTCCCGTCGCTGAGCAGTTCAAAGGTGAGGGAAGCGGCGGTCGGGACGGTGCCGTCCCGGGGGATGCAAATGTCCCGCCCTGCTGCATATTCATGAGCTCGGGGGGGGCTTTGAGCCCTCGGTCGGGGCCCGGGCGAGCTTTTGGTCCCCGCCCGTGCCGAGTGCGCGGGGTCGGCCACGGGAACTTTGCTGTTCCCCGCGGGGCGCACGGAGGGTTTGTCCCGGGCGCACATGGACTGGGGAGAACTCTGCCCGCCGGAGCCGCTCTCCCTGCACCGCCAGGAACAGCAGGGACCGCTCCCCGCCCCGGCCCAGCGCCGCACGCCGCCTGCCCCAAAACACGCCGGGCGCCTCGGACAGGGAATTCCTGGAGGGAAGAAACAATAAAATGTGGATCCGTTCCAAGTGCGTATGAGCCTCACGCTGCCGAGCTCTCGAGAGGAGAGCTGGGATCGTGCCGGGCCAGTTTGTTCCGTTTTTATCTCTTTTCCATCCACTGGCCTTGTATTAAATTGTCATTGTCCCAAAGCCCATGAGAGAGAAACGAATTGTATTTCTCGGCGTGCACTGACAGTGAAATATTTCCCCTCTCTGTCTCCAGTCACACTTATGTGTTTCCTTGTGCAGGGGTGACACCAACAGTGGCTGCAGCTCGACATTCCACTCCTTACCTGTTCTTTCCCATTTGTGGGTGGTCTCAGGCTCGAGGTGGGCAGTCACACGTGCGCAGTCAGATCTGGAGCAGCACGTCTGTGTGGGGGTTTGTTTTATATATTTGCATTTTCTGTGCAATCCTCTGTCTGTGCACAGCGAGTTTTGTGTTCAGTACGTTTCTGTCTGTGCCTGTGTGTGTGTTACAGGTATGTGGTGTATTTTTTTTAAGATTTTCTCATTCTAAGTAAATGAAAATAATATTTATTCATATTCCTGTAAGTTTGGGCTGTCAAACGGAGAACTGTATTTTCAGCTACATGTGTTCTTGGCTGTATTTGCACCTAAAGAATATAATTATTTTAGGGAGGGGCGACTCTACATATGGTTGTTAATGTGCATCGTGACGTCCTCAGGCAAAAGTATAAAATACACATTCAATTTTAATGGTCCTTAGTCCTCTCCAAAAGTCCTGTAGTTGTGGGCATTTTGGTTTTTTGATTTTGTTACAGTTTGTTTGTCGAGAAGTAAAAATCCTGTGAAACATTAAAGAAAACTATGAAACTGAATTGTATCCTGCTATTTTAGATGGTATTCCTTCATTATATTTGAAGTGACTTGCTATTGCCTTTTCAGTAGCACTTTGGAGTGTAACTTTTCTAGAATGGTAGATTGCTGCCTTTTGACATGTGTGTCTTCTGAAACAATTTATGGATTTGCTGTGTTACAGAAGCTCTAAATCTCTTGGGTTTGTTTACATAACACTTGTAATGTTTTTTCAACTAATTCTTATTTCCTTCAAACAAAGAAGGGCTTTTCTCTTTGCTATTCCTTAACAGAGCAGGTTTGCACTAAAGGGAATCTTGTCTAATTTCCAGTTATTTTCCTGTTTTAAGTAATGTAGCTTTTTAATCAGAGCATCATTTCCCAATTCTTTTAAAATTGAAATAAAATTAATTTTTTCACTTCAGCTTCCTGTGCTTGCTAGGAGAAATATCTACTAACAGCTTAATGAAAATTAGAGCAATATAGGTACTTTCACACAGTGTAAGATAAGCACGTGCTGTTTTTCTGTACCGCTGAATGTCTGATTTTTACCGTGGGTCACCATTCTGAATTTGTAGGAAATCTTGATGAAATTTGTGGATTTAGATCAAAATAATTTATGAGGCAAAACAAAACAAAAAATTCTTACTGTTTGTGACACTAACACAGACCCTTAAATGTGAAATTGGAGCAGGATGGCCATGTGCTGTGGTAAGTTGGTGTATCAGGGTGTGTGGAATAGAAGTTCTTGTTCTCGGTCTAATCGAGCCATTTAGAGTGTCCTTGTACAGAATTGTGCACATTTATTTCTATGATAACCTGCTGAAATATAATTAGCTACCCCTGTGCATGTGAGAATAGTCCAAATATATCCTTTTATCATCCATTGAAGATTATATTCCCTTCCCCTGAGTAAAACCCTTTGCAGCTTTGAGCTGCTGTCTTTATATGGGAGGGTGTAAGATTCTCTTCAAGAGTTTTGTTCTGAAACCAAACTTTAGGATAAAGTGATTTGAGGTTTTTGAGGTTATTACTCTGTAGCTTAGCGTGGATGTCTCTTCCTCCTCTGTGTCTTTTCACGTTGCTGTAAGTGGAAAAAAACCTGCACATCTCTTTTTTGTCATTTGGATTGGAACTACACACCCTAGGTAATGTGTTTGGGCAGCACTTACCTGGGCAAAGATAACAAATCAATATTAGCCCTGCTGAGGAGTGTCAGAAGTGTCCCAGGTGTGTCCATTTAGCTTTGCTCCATCACACTCTCTTTCCTTAAACAACTGGTCGAGCTGTCACAAAATGTCCTGTTGGCTCCAGTGAGATTCTAATGGGTGTGATCAGAGACTGAGGGCTTTGGCAAGGTAGAATGAGAAGATGGAGTTGCTGTCTCTTGTTTTGAATGTCCTCAGAAATAAAGCCCCAGAAAAACAAACAAATAAAAAGGAAATAAACATTTAAAAACAGTAAAAATAATTAAAAAATTATAAGCCAGTTGTGTGTGTGCTCCCCCCTCCAAGCCAGCTAGACATGAAACAATTTAAAGTCCTGTAGATGTAGAGATGAAAAAGTCATATCTAAAATGTAGTGCTAGCTTGTTCCTAAGCATTTCCAAAATTCCTTCCCATCAGGTGCCAGGATGGGTGGGCAGGAGGTGACTTTATTTATTCAGACCATTCTTGTAGGTGTGATTGCTGCTCTTTCACCCCTCTCCCCCTATTTCTGGGTTTGTTTCTAGAGCTGTTTTTGAAAGAAACACTTTTTTCAATCTCACACGTGAATATTTTTAAAGAAATACAAGACATGAAAATCTCGTAAAGCCAATGCTTAACAAAATGGTGAAATCACACTCCTTTATGTACTCTGAGCACTCTGCTACTGGCAGTTTGTGTAGTTCTCCATATACTGGAAATGTAACAAAGGATCAAGCAATTTTCTGGGTATTCTTTATTTACTTTTAATTTTTTTTTCTATCATCAAGTTGGCTGCAGGATTTGGTCCTGTCTTTGTGGAGGATGAATGTCACTGTCCTTTAATGTTTAAGCTCATATTTTATTGCTTAGGGGTACTGTGATATACACAATTGGCAAGTGTTAATGCTAAAATAGTTTTCAGAGGAATTAATTTCAGAAAGTCTATGAGGTTTCTTCTGCACAATTATTTTTCACTTTTACGGAAAAAACAAAAGCCAAAAAAAAGCATCTAGTTAAGAAAAAAAAGGCTAAAACTCATGTGCTGTCTAAAACAGATTCAGAGCGTGTTTCCAAAAGCAAGTGCACAGCATTGCTAGTAAAATTATCTCTGGAGAATGGTCAAATTCTTACAGCAAAAAGTGGATATTTTTTTCCCCCACTGTGGTAGTTTAATGCTCCGTGAATGCAAGATTTCCTCTGCTGAATTATGTGCAATTTCCGTCAGCAGAAGAATCCCCAGCAATGTTCTCGTCGCAGCCGTTAACGTGGGGGGACAGATGAGATGGTTTGAAGTGCCATGAAGTGCCACGTCTTCAACCAACTGTTCCCCTGAGCGTTAAAGGGGTGAGAATCAGATTCCCAGGAGCTGAGTGACATCCAGGGACACCCCATCGCTCTTGTCCAGGACCTGCTCGGGCCCAGGTGGTGCTGGGTGAGGTTTACAGGGCGGAGCAGCCGCTGTCAGTGGCTGACATTGGTCTGAATGACACCTGTCCCCTCAGTCCCCAGGCCGTGGGGTCACAGGGGAGAAACAACAATGGGCTGAATTACCTGGCGCTGCACCCTCGGCTCAGTTGGGCTCCTTGTTCTCCTGCAGATCCAGAGGGTGGCTGGTTCTGTGCCGGGAGCCCAGGCAGGAGCACAGGATGGGCTCAGGGGGGGCACGTGCCTGCCCTGTGCTGCTCCATCAGAAGGACTCAGGGATGGGCTGTCAGTGGGAGGGGTGGTGGGAAGGAGCCTCCACTCAGGGGCTGGAGCTTCAGCTTCTAAAGAAGGCTGTACTTAATCACAGAGCTGCAACTCAGGATTTCTCCTGGCCTTCCAGAACTTTTCATTTAGCCAGCTGAGAGTGCCCAGGGCACAGCCAGGTTAATGTTTAACTCTTCCAACACTGCCCTCATCCCAGGATATCCTGTCATCCTGAGAAGGAGGAAGGGAGGTGCTGTGCCTGTTCCCTGTGGCTGTGCAGGAAGGAAAATCTTCAAAGCCGTGGCCCTTCTGAAGGAGTTGAGCTTGTGTTATTCCTCAGTAGTCAGCACTGAAAATTCTGTATCCGAGACACTGAATGAAAAGGAGAGTTGCCGAGAGGCTTGTTTGGGGGAGAGTGTTTTTTTGGTTTGTTTTTGTGGGGGTCTTTTAGTGCCAAATGAAGGTTGGATCATGAAAATCAGTCTTATTACAGACAAAAACTGTAAAGGCATTTAAACACTTTCAGACACTGTAACCATTTTCCTTTCTTTCACTTTCTCACCCCTTGCAAATCAGAGACAGTTCCTAGAGGACAGGAGAATAAAATAAACAAAAAAAGAAAATGTTTTTCTACTCTTGAGGCCTCTGTCAGGTCTGTTTTGAATGCATTTGAATCCTACTGCTTCCAGGCTCTTTTTCAAGTAGCACCAGATAAATACCTATGAACTGCTGAGATCAGAGTGATCATTCTTACTTCACAAAATGTTTCTCTTTTATTTTCCTATCCTGTGTCCCTTTTGTGTTCTGTGCTATGGAGTGACTACATTTTTGTTCTAAGCTAATTCACTGCTGCTGTTTTGGGTACAACTAATGTCAAGCAGCAAACCTGTAACATGCCAGAAACAGGCT